AATGTTAAAATTGCTGCGGTTTAAAAGCTTGTAGTTGGATCCAAGTTCCAGGCATATCATCCACCTCACGGTGGTTAAGATATGTGCTGGACCCCTTGCTGGTGCTACTGAGGTGCCCTTTACTGGGTGCTTTGGTAGACCACAGCGATTTACTTTGAAAAAATTGGAGTGTGTTCCTCAAGTTTTTTGAGCGCACAGACAGGCACATGTTTGCGTTTTTTTATTTGCGGACAAGTAAATTTCTCAAACGTTTTCTGCAGACTAGCAAAGTTTCATGGAATTTTTTCATCAAATTTATGGAATTTGAAAAACATTTGCTTGCAAGACTTCATGGCAGGCATACACCTTTTTTTGCTGTTCTGCAAAAATTAATGACAGCTGTAGTGGAATGTCTTTAGAAAATTAGAAAGACAAACTTGAAGAAAAATATTTCAGAACGAAAAAGATAAAATACATTTTGCAGGTTGAAATTTGTTGAAGTGTTACTAGGAGAAAAGTCAACTTTTATTTTTCATTAGATAATTTCAACTGTCCATGTCTTTCCAAAATTGCAGATAAAGATGAAGACTTCATTGCTACTACTTATGCAGTAGAACATTGCCTGTGGACTGGCAAGTAACTTCTTTGGACTGGTGCCAGTCTGCAAACCAGGGGTTGCGGAACACTGGTATGGACTTTATAAGAGTATGAAGTGCCCACTTGTACTTTAGAAGATCATCATGGGATGCATGTTGCCAGTTAGAATTTTTAGGACTTATCTGGGGGAGGTACTTCTGTTTGCCTGCACCAGCCAAACAATCAAATACGGCAGAGGGTTTTTCCAAACTTTCCAAATTGCTTCATTTGATATCTGTGAATATCTCACAATGAAAGCCTCTTTTCAGGCATCATTGAAAAATAAATTCTAGTGAACCATTGGGTACTTGCGTAGCACACACACATCCATTTCTCTAGCACTGTTGAGAAAGAAATGAATTCACAACCAAGGCAGTTGTAAATGGCTGATGTAGTCCACTATGGTATGATTTTGGGGTGTTGTCATGTTGGGAGGCAGTTGCCTAATGTCGTGAGATGGACAATGTCTTCTCCCTCTGATTGGCATGGATAGGCAATGCATTGTTACAGCAAACATGTAACTTCAGTTACTGCCATGCTAGATAATTGGGGGCCACATTCATGACAATATTATATGGTGTTATCCTAATTTATCAAAGGTTCTATTGAAATAAGTTATTTCTAAATCTAAAATCTCTTTAATATCAAGACTTGATCTTGCTTTATATTCCATTATGATAAACTTGAACTTTAGAGAGGAATTAAATTTAATGGCCAGGACTGAATTAATTGGTCAGCATTTCACTTTTACTAAGGCAAAGGATATCTCACTTTTTTTTCTGACAACATTCATTGCAACAAAGTTCAGACCGATAATGAGTATAGTAAGAGTGATGTGACACTTTTTAATGTATTTTTGCCTTGCGCAAAAAGCTTGTGACTGCGCATAGATAGAAATGAAACTAGCATGGCACAAGCGTAAACAACTGGTGAACGGACGTGTTGATGGCGCAGTTATATGCACAATGCAATTGCTGATCAGATTTGAAAGTATTGTCAGGAATATTTCCTTGATAAGATAAGATTGATTAAAAATCTCTTTAGTGCTTGTAGCAATATTCTAGATTCTAAGAGATTGTAATAAAATTCTTTACCAGATGAACTTGAAATAAAATACTTGATCAGCCGGGCTGCGGCCAGGGCTAAAAAGCCCTAGTTTAAAGTTGTTCTATTCTCAGTGGTTTCACAATCTTGTTTCAAACCAAACACACAACACAAACAATTCACAACCAAAAATATCCAACAAGAATTGCAAGACTCTAATGGGTCTGCTCTGTTTGACTGCCAGGGATGAACTGACCAAAAATATTTCTGGGGGAAAGAAAAAGGGAGATGTCCTTGTGGACGTTTCAGTTGAATCTGGGAATCTGTCCTTGGAGGACAATCTTTTCTGAAGGATGTTTTCTCAGAAGCAAAGAAAACCCTGTAGGAACTGGAGGTCAACTGGTTTCCCCAGGAATTCTTTCAGGGGTTAAGGGGCAAGTTTTGAAGGCTACAAAACTTGCCTCTGAAACCCTGAAGCTAGGAATTTTTACTTCTAGCTTTATTTCCCTTCTAACTTTATTTCCCACAAGTATGTCCAGAAACTATTCACAGAAACAGGATTTATTTATGTGTTTTGGGACACCCAGTAAATTTGCCAAGATGAAAATGGGATGATACAGTTGAATTTAAAGGGGCCAGGAAAAATAGTTGACTTAGGGAGGCCATCAACATGGCCTTGAAAGAGTGACTCGTTGGGAACAGTTTTATGAATTCAGATTGACACAGTATTGAGAAAGAGAAACAAAGTACAATACTGTATTTAAGGATATTTATTTCGTGCGAGTTGCCCGGAAATGTAGGGAATGCGCTTTTTCCTCTTCCTGAGGAGAAAAATCCGTCCAGTTTTTACGTGGTGACCGTTTCTGCAGAATTCTTGAAATTGCATTTCTCTTGCTGCCGGAACGTATTTTACGCTTGCTCATATGTTCAAACATTGTTTCGGTGGCATACCTGCTTTTATACTGCCTTCGCAAGTTGCAACCATTTTTCAAAGATTGGGAATATAGAACGAATTTTCCGAAACTTCTGAATTGAGATTTTTGAGATGGAACTCGAGTCGGCGACTCAGCTTTTAAAGTGCTCAGAATATTTGTGCTTGAAAATGAGTCCAAATTCATCTGGTCAATCAAGGCGAAATTGGTCTGCTTCCAAGGTCTTGGGCTTCCGTAGAATTGCTTATGTGCTTCCCTGGACCATCAAGATGCCAGTGGACTTTATATTGATGCAGCATTTCTTACATTTTTCTGTCGGTTGTTTCTAGGAGCGACAGTGGGCGTCGGTATTGACCCTGGATGGGGTTTTCGTAACCTTTGGCTGCCATCCCCATTGGGTCGCGGATTTTGCCGACGAGTGTCGTGACGCCATGATCAAAGCACTCAAGCATCCGAGAGTGATTGCCGCCGGGGAATTCGGACTGGACTACTGTGTGTGAGTTGATGAGCGGGAATACATTTCAAATGGTTTTCGACTTGCGGAAATTGATGCCGAATTTCCGATGCTTGATGGTAGGCGGAAGACTGGGAACAACCCCGACAAACCTTTGCAGCAAGCTGTATTCAGGGACCAGTTGCAGATTGCGCTGGACGCCAATAAACCCATTGTGATACACTGCAGGGAAGCTCACGAGGATTGCCTCCGGATAATGATTGAGGTACGTGATGGATTACATTTATCACACACACACTCACACAAGGTCGAGTTGGCTCGAGGTCAAGTTTTTGACATGGTCCATGGATTCCTTCTTTCCAGTTTCCTTCATCTTTAAAAGTATCCCTCTTGATTTATTTTTTAAAACCAGATGGTTCCGGAATACTGGAAAATACATCGGCATTGCGTTACGAATTCCATGGAAGAAATGCAGGAGTGGATGGACGCCTTTCCAAACTGTTATTTCGGATTCACCAATTTCATAACTGCTCCGAAAAGTCGACCTGCTCACGACTCTGTGCGAAATATTCCTCTGGAACGGATTATATTGGAAACCGATTCGCCTTACCATTTTCCCCATGTGGTGAATATTCCGGGACGGCCTTATTCTCAGCTGACATCATTTTCCAAGAGGGCGCATGACCTATATTGAACTTTGTTTTTAATGAATTTATCCACTAGTTGAACAACCCCAAGCCGGCGTTGTCGCATCCTGGAATGGTCCTTCACGTGGCAGCACAAATCGCATGTCTCAAAGGTGTGACTCTGGAAAAGGTTGTACGGACTTGCAGGCAAAACACGCGAGATTTGTACGGCATTTGATGATGACGAGGAAATGGATCCTAGCTGCTGGTTATAATCTCTTCGCTATACGGACGTGCATTTTTGTGTACATGAAGTGTTTTGTTTTTGTTGGTGTATATTTCTTCGTCTCGCGCGAGTGCAGGAGATCCCGAAGAAAAAGTCCCGTGAAACCAATTGCGTCGCTATTCATCGATTAAATGCATAATCTGGTATGCCCTATTATGAAGGGATCAAGTTTTGTGGACGAGCGAGCAAGCTTATCGGACGTTTCGGGACATCGTGGATAAATGATGCCCGGTGATGAAAACTTTTTCTTTCGTTTGACCGCAATGACGCCTTGCTGAATTTGTTGGTTTTTTTTTTTTTTTCTTCAATTGGCCATTGTGATGAGAATGGCATTGTTCTGGGCTCGTAATCACTGCGCGGCTGTTCGCGCTCGTTTTCTCGATGCGCAGGAGTGATCCGCGTGTTATTTCGAGGAGAAGAAGAGATCGTTGATCTTGATGATTCAAATGGAGCGCACTCGAATTTTCTTGGACCAGAGAACTTGTGTTGAATTTTTCCTGCACTCATTCGAGAATTCTTATGCGTGGAATGAAGGACACAGGAAAGCGATTCATTTCGTTGAGTGAAAATCCTCCGATTACAGCACGGGGAAGCTGACGCTCAACTGAATCTGGTAAACGAAGGAGTATTTCATCCCGACAGAAAAGTGCATTTGGTGTTCGCAAACGGACGTTGCGGTTTCCCCGACTCTCCGAATGAACTTTGATTTTACGAGAACCTTGAAGCGTTATTTACGGTTTGGTTGAGGAAGCCGAGCATCAGTTGATTTTAGTGTCGCTCGTTTACCGGAGACTGTGTTAATTCAGCTGTCGCCTTCAACAGAGATCGTCTCATTCGGCGTATTGAAAGGAAGATGAGAGGGCGCGCTTGAAAGAATGAACGGTTGGAAGAGCGAGGAGAAGAAAAAAATGAAATGAAGGATCGACTGAATGCGTGTTGAGCACTTGAAAAGACGACGTCGCGCCTGGTTCCTGTCGAGGAAAAAAAATGACTGACTGGCTCCGGATCCAGCATTAGGGCGGAGGATGATGCGCAAGCCCGAAGAGTTACTTCTCATCGCGCCATTCTCAGTCGAAACAGGGTTCGTCCTCAAGTTCTCTTGAGTGACGACTTCTTGAATTATCCAAGCTGAGGACGTGGGGAACATCTTGTGTGCTGGTTGCGTGAATTATGATAATGACGATACACGACATGCGATCTTGCTGGTTATTCTCGTTCGTCTTTCCGAGGGATGGTATCCCTTAGTACAGGATACTCTCGGCTTTGCGCTACTGGAAGACTTTCAGAAAGAAGTGAAATTGGACCTGAGCGAGTGATCGCGATTCAAGAACAATGACTTACAGCCACTAAGGACGCGTTTCAAGATTGAGAGTGTATCACGAGATGACGAGACAGCTTATTGATACAGACTTGCGATGCACTCATCACTGTGTATTGTGTGTCGCTTGTGCGCCTGATGCCTGGTGAATATTGGGGCGGGGGGGGGTTTATATACTGTAGCTGTAAGACGACCCGTATAAGATTTTTATTTTGGGTGTTGACACGGAGTTCCGACGGTGGATATTTGCGAATGCCCCGTTATCCTTCGTTTATTTATGTTTATTCCATTTTCAATCTCGACTCGTTCGATCCTCCTCAGCGGGCGGGTGAAATGAAACGCTGGCTCCGTCCCCTTTCTCTCTCTCTCTCTCGCCCTGGGGTTGGCGAAAACAAACCGGGCCCCATTTCCGCGTGCAGTACTGCTGCTTGCTATCCATCCGGCTCTTTTTCCCGCTCAACTTTCTGCTGTCTCTGCAGCTGATAGCGAGAGTCGTCGTCTTCATCACACGGTATATATAGTCGACGACGCAGCTTCCGTCACTTGGCGTTTATTCTCGAGACACATAACCGTCCAAGATCCGCTCCTTCTTTCTTTCTTTCTCCCAACTGTACTGTATTCCCTTCCCTTGCCTCCTTTATTCCTGCTTCCGCCTGTTTATTTTTCGGTGGGCTGAGACTTGCGCGCAGTTCGTGGCGCAGACCCGTTCTGCTCAGATGTGCAACGGAAGCGTGTAAACACTGTGCCATTATATAGGCCCTGGCGGTGGTGGTGTCTGATGTAAAGATCCAAGTGCTGATGGAATCATCATTGTGCAGGCCGATTTTTTAAATTTATGATTTTCACGCCTACTTACATGTGAGCATCACATGCTGGGATATAGTTCGACGTTTTCTTGAAAGATCCTTGCATAATTGACATTAGCATATTCACACAGCTGTATAGGATTTGCTTTTTCTCACATCGCTCATCATTTAACTGCGAAAGGTCGTGTATGCTGCTACAATATAATATCGTTTAATCAAAGGTAAATTTTTGATCCTGGTGTTATTCCTATTGCGCATAGCTTCGCATATACAGCATAAGCAAAAGAGGTAAAAATACCGTTTTACCAAAAGAGATAAAAAGACCTTGAGGCAGAGAATGGGAAAAATACACAGAAGTCTCCTAAAATCTCAAGGTAATAAGAAGCATATCACGAGCAGAAACCAGGCTTTGGATGATTTTTTTGAAGATAAAAGAAAAAAAATGAAATGAAAAGTGTTTTTCGAAGAATGGACTTGGTTTTTTATTCATAGCAAACAAAAAATTATTGAAAAATTTTGGAAATCACAGAAACTGTAGGAAGTATTGTTCTAAAAACCAAAATATTTTCAATTTCTTGTCGAGAATGAAAAATGTTCAACATAAGGTTGTCACATGGATGGAAAGTGCGTGCCAAAACTGGAAAGTTTTCACGTACTGTCTTGCAGTAAATCTAAAAATTTTCAAAAAAATCTAAAAAAAATCCCAGAACCTTAAACTTGGATGAGCTAAGTTTTAATTTTTGTTTCAATTTTGTACCAAGACTTATAAGTACCCAAGGTCAATCAGGAATGGAACATCCCTTGTAAAGATATGTTAAGCTTTTTGTGCATAAAATTTAGCATTACAGGAAGTTTGAATCTGTAATATTAATAAATAATTGAGCTGAGCTTTTGAATTTAGAGAAGGCGATTTTTGAAAAAAGAAAAATATCTTTGAGTTGATTCTGCTGTAATTTGGGGAACTTGGACTTCCTAATGAATAAATGCTCTTCACACACAATTCTTGTAGGTCTCAACTGATAGTGACGTAAGAATAATGAGATTAATATGCTTCTAAGGGAAGTATATTAGAACAAAATTAATAAATATGGGAATCGTATTTCGCATTTTTAATTTTTCCTATAATATTCCATCAGAATAAGTTTAAAATGCAGGAAATTCTCCCCAAATATGTTGTAGAGTACTTCAGAGCATTGATTAACTTTTCCCCACAAAATTCCCGTCCTTGCATGCTCAAAGAATCATACGAATCTCATGGTAACAAATGTTCCTTTCAAATATTCAAACACATATTTTCTCCCTTGCTGTAAAAAATATGCTAATTTTTGGAAGAAAATAATTCGACATTAAACTTTTTAAAATTTTCATTTCAAAATTTTATGAGAGTGACATTTTTGTATTGGAAAGAAGGATGAGGGAAAATAGTTTCAAGTTCAGTTTGTCCTGCTGAAACTGCTCTCCTTTTTTTTAAATCTCACGCTGTTGGACAAGACGCTTGATACAAATGGAAAAAGGTTTTCACTTTGGAAGAGATATGTTTGCTGGCCTTTTTCAGAAAGTGTAATGCAGATGGTACCCTGCAATTCAACCCTAATCCGTTGCTGGGCAAGGGTAAATTCGCAAGACGATGTCAAATTTGATGCGTTATGCATAACATTTTCCGTTTTTGGCATCAATTTTGATGTTTTGTAGCTCTCTGCTGGTTGAATTATGGGGCAGAGGTTAAATTGCAAGTTAACATTTCAGCGAATTTTGCCATGGAATTGCGCAGGATGGTCATATTGCTGGGCATCAAATTGTGAGGTACCACCTGTAGTATAGTTTTGCATCAAGTTCAAGTCTCTTTTCCAATGGTAGCCAAATGAGTGCAAAACATGGACCTGACTTGGACATTGGATTAACTTTTGAAATTCATATGGGAAATTATTAAATGCATTGAAATGGTGGTGTGCACGGAATTTCCTTTTATATTCATGCTATCATCTCCGTCAGCTTCGTAATACTGTAATATAAATGTACCACTCAGTTCCTTTTCCCTTCTGAAAAAAATACTGCACAAGTGTCGCGAAGGAGTATGAAAAGTACATTTTGAATGTCTTGAAACGATGGTGCACTGCAGGCGACAAACACGTTGCACCAATGTGGTGTCTGTTATTCTGTTTAATTTTTAATCATGGTGTGCATTTTGGGAAAAGTGTGTCAGTCCCACTGCAAGACCCCAGCATGCCTGCCCTTGAAGGTGAGATTTTCTCGAATAGATTTGTTGGTTTCGAGCAACATTATCATCAAACTCAAAGGGTTGCTCGAGTATCCTCACAAATGAAGGACTGGCTCACCTATGTAACATGTGTCAGACGTCAGACCTGATTATATGCGCCTGAAATAGAGATAAGAAGGAAATTTTATAGATAAACTGTATATGCTGTGTCAAGTATTTACTTGTAGTACTGTACAGTGAGGCCCCAACATGTGAAAGCCCTGAAATACAGTTGATTTTACTTGAGATTTAATATTTAAAAAAAAAAGTCCAGACATGTGAACACTCTGGATGAGACATTCTAGAAATTCTTTTTCTTTCAAAATTTCAATATCTCAAACAGTTGTAAACTTTCTAAAAACTTGAAGGAATGCATCCACTTACAGGGTTGGCCAAAAGATGAACCTTTTTTTTGCTGAAAATATCTTAAAAGCCAACTGAGCTGTGGCAATGACAAAAATGAAACCTTGTTCAATCCCTTTTCCAAAGGGTGCGTGGTTTTATGGTCCCAAGTGCCATGGCGTGGTCAAAAAAACCATTTGAATGAGAACTTTCCAAAGAGAAGTTGTCAGGCAACTCATATAATACGATGCTGTTCTTCAGAGATTTTTGTTGTAAAAGAAATAAATACTGTAGTGTGCAGGACCAGAAATTCAACCAGCAAACCTCATGCTGCCTTCAAGAAGATGCAGATATTCCCAAAATGTATGAGGTACATGGGTTTCAGAAGTTGAAATAAATGCACAGTTGAATGTTGCTCCAATGGTGGAGGGAGTTGCCTGACAAATTTTGTTTGGGAAAGTTTTAATTTAAATGGTTCTTGTAACAATGCCATACACTACAGTATATGGCTCTTGGAATCATAAGACGAATAGCATTCAAAGAGGATTGAAGGAGCTTCCACGTGTCAATATTTCATGATCAAAGCTTAATTTGCTACCAAAGTGTTATTGAAGCTCAAAATCAGTTCACTCTCTTTATGGCCCACCCTGTATGAACAGTGAACACAATGTTATTTATCATGATAAAAAGGCTAATTTCCTTCTTTTAATTTTGGCTGTTTTTTCGAGACTGTGTACGGTACACCAATGTGCGTGCATTATTCCTTGTCAGACTCCTTTTCATGCCTGTTGAGGGCGGATTCTGTTTAGTCTTTTTCCACACAAATGCTTTCTCAAGTTTAAGTGCAAGAAAACCATTTTACAGTACATGCATTTTTAGGGACTTTTCTGTTCGCTTTTCCCAAGCTTTCAGTGTTTGAAACGGTTCCCATTCATTGAAGGCTATGGGAAAATTAGGTGAATGTTCTTCCATTGGGACACTGTCGGACAAGCAGTAACGTCCACATTTCCGGGCCCCACTGCTCCAAGTAACTCATGTGTCTGATGAGATATTATCAGAATCTTTTTTTTTCATGGGCCTGAAAAGCCATGTATGGGACCTATGGACTAAGAATTCTAATTGATTGATTTGTTTTTCTTTCACATACTCATCGTTCTCGTGGAAGGCGTGAGAGATGCAGATGCGACGTGGTGTGGGTTCCCTGGTCAACCTGCCAATGGGTCTGTCGTTTCGTTGGTCCCGGCCTACTTGCCACAGGAGATGGTGCAGTATCAGTGCAACCCTGGGTACATTCTGTTTGGCTCAAAGACCCGGCGCTGTGCAGAGAATGGCACCTGGCTTGGCGACATGCCCCACTGTGGTCAGCAGGCTATAGCTTCAATATTTTCTCGCTGCATAAATTCAACGTATACATATACACACGTATGCAGTCATCATTACCCACATTCAGCTCCAAACGAAACGAATCTATCACGTGTCTTCATATCCTAGCGAGAATAAGTTGCTGAGTGTTGAGATGTTTCTTCAATTGAAAGAGTGATGAATTTGAACTTGTTCTTTCTTGCTGCACGGCAGAAGCAAATGCCACTTCAAAGTACCGTATTTTTTTTTTTAATATTTTTCTAGAACATTTCACTGCAGAGAATGCAAAAAATATTTCACCAACCCCCTTCATTGTATCTCCTTAATTGATCATGTGTTGCTTCATTAATTTGGATAGAGAGCAACTTGGCAACCGGCAGAAGTGCCCACCAATCGCAGACCTTGTATGACTACACGGCCAACAAGGCTGTGGACGGTGATCCCGAGACTTGCAGCTTCACGCCTCGAAGCCAAGGCATGGACGGCAACAAGTGGTGGCAACTCGACCTCGAAGCCCTGCACGATATCTCCGCTGTGGGCATCACCATGACCCCAGGTGAGTACAGTTTGGGAAGGCGATGTCAGTACAGTATGCATAAGCCCGGTTTGCCATCCCTCTGATGTTTCATGGCTCCGTCCATCAGGAGTTGAAGTGATGCTTGACGGTAGTTGTACAGTACTAAATTATGGCTGAAAAGTTGGCCCTGTTCTTCCAGTATAGTATAGGAGCCGCCAGGGCATACTGTCCAGTCACAGGTAAATTGTCTCTGATGACAGGGCATGCTCAGGGGTGCTGTTTTCTGCCTCAACAAAAGCCCAGGCATGATGAATTCTCCCACGTGGGATGCAAGCCCTCGATAGGTAGGATGCACTCTCCCAGGTAGGTTGGACTCCCGTAGGTAGGATACAATTTCCCACAAAAACTGTACCAAAACTTGGCATATGGACAATGATTGTCTTCCACTGTGGCTTCAAAATCCTGGTAATCCCTTTGGTGCATATTCGATAGATTATTGTCTCTCTGCTGGGTTGACCCATTCCAACCCTTTGTCACCACTTTTGGTGGGTAATCAGGGTGTCTTTCAATCGCATGGAAGATATGAACTTTCAGTTCTGCTGAGAAAAAAAAATTGACCCTAAGCAATTATGAGGTTGGATGTTTCCAAAGGATTTCAAATTTTAAAATTGTACACATGTTGAGTTCTGCTGTGAAAATCAAAGAAACAATTCTGAACAAGTTTGTCATAGGATGCCTTCAAAACTTTTTCAGAATTCCAAATTGTATAGATTTTGATTTCTGCTGTACATAAGAAACAAATCAATCAGAAGAAGTATTGTATGATGTAAAATATTTTCAAAATGTTAAAAAAGTATACATTCGGGGTTCTTCTGAGAAAATAGAACATATAAATCCTAAAATAGCACTCTCCTCCACATAGGAGGCACTCCATCCCAAAACTTGCACCAAAAACTGGCATGCAGACAAAATAACATCTCACTTTGTGGCTTCGAAATCCTGGTAATCCCTTTGGCCCCTATTCAATTTCAATAGATTGAATATGTGGGTTGAGTCTTAGCAACCAATTTTTACCAGATTTGGTGAGTCTTCAGGGCGTCCATTAATTGTATACAAGAGAAACAAATATATTTGAAACTTAGATAAAGGTTTCCAACCATTTTAAAATTTCAAATTGTTTACATTTTGTGTTCTGTTTGGAAAATCAAACAAATCAATCTCAAACAGGCATCAGGTAATATGTTTCAAAACATTTCTATTTTTTCATTTGTATACATTTTGAGTTCTTAAGAGAAAATCAAATGAACCAATCCTGAATTGGGAGAAATTAGGAGAAAAATTGGCTATTTACTCAGCTAACTTCCAGCTAATTGTCTTCCATTCGTAACCTTCAGCATAACAGTGACCTGAATAATACGTGTAAGGAACAACGAGCCTCAATCAAGTTGAGGCTCAAGAAGAGAAGAAAAAAAAATCACGCAGACATTCAAAAGCTCGCCATCTTTAATGGTAATACAGAGATGCATTCAGAAGGGAATCCAAATTGTAGGGATATCGATTCTACCTGTATAGTTCTTGTATACTTCCAATTGATAGCTGCGTTGTTGATTGGAATTATTGATCAGCAACTGCTTTTTCTGTTGTTTGGTCCTTTTGTCTGTTTCACTTGTTTATTTTGACCCAGCTTATCTTTTTGTGCATTGGAATTAACCACTTCATTACTTCCAATATCTTGGCTAACCATGGATGAGAACCTTTATCGTTGTCTCACACAATGAGTGCTTTCATAATTAACCATCAGCTGTTGTAATGCATGAACTTTGGTTGTTGTTGTGGCCTTTCAAGAATGGTTACGTTGAGATGATACTGTTGAGTACAGTTACCCGAGGCGAGAGAAAAAAGCCACGGGATCCTATTGTCAGTGTTTTAAAATACAAACACAGCAAGTGAACTTGCACAATTTGGACCCTAGCAAAAATCCTGAGCTCAGGAAATTGAATTATTGAAGCATCAATAAAGCTGCGAACCCTGTTTAATTCAATTTTTCCTCTAGTCAGTGGAGAAATGGAGCATTGCATTTCCACTCTGTTTTCACATCAATGCACTATTTCTGAATGATGGAATGAACTCATCCACCCTCTTTGCCCTTTCATTTTGCATATGGTAAATTATCTTAACCTGTATTGCGGTGTACGTATGTACCTTGAAAAAGACAGATTTTCGTTGGAAGGATACAGTTTAGAAGCTTACATTCTGAGCTTGAAATTTTAACTTTCATAACTTTTTCAACTTTGCCGAGGAAGCTTTCAACGACGGCTTCTCTGTTTGTTCTAACCCTTCGTCAATATTCATTCATGTATAAAATATTGCACGCCATTTTTCTGAGCTGATACATTTTCGGCAGTTGGTTCCGAAAGGGGTATCCCAGTGGATGGCTCTTATCGTGATGGGCGATTCATTATAATTCTAGGCAGTTGTGGAATAAAAATGAAGTTTTGCATTTTGAATAACCTAAAAATTCGTGGGTCATAACATCGTCATGCTACGTCCTCGTCCAAGTATGCGATATTGAATCTCTCGTTATATCCTCGTATCGTATGGTCCAAGTTGCTGGCTACCTTTATTTTTGTATTCTATATACAGTACAGTATCAGTAAATACGTCATGATGGGCGTATGAATGAATGTATACTGCATATGATGATGATGATGATGATGTTGATGATGAGAGTTGGAAACACGTACGTGTGCAGACACCCTGCAGGAGTTCGGGATCTACGTCATCAACAAGAAGGCGAGTGGGGAGATCGAGTTCAAGCACTGCGCAGATTTCCGTGGCACTTTCCGAGCCCAGAAAGCCCTGTTCAAGTGCAATGCTGGACTGGGCCAGCAGGGCCAGTACATCCACATCAAGGACGAGCGGATGAGGGACGAGTACTTTGGCTTGTGCGAAGTGGAGGTTTTTGCTCGTCAAGGTGAGTATACCGCCATCTGCACAGAGCAGTACCGTACTTATATAAAGTCCTGTACTGTAAGTACTGCTGATGTATAATGCTTTTGTTCAATGACTGCTGCTATATGACTATAGTGGCGTACTATATTAGATCAGTTGATTGATTGTTGGAGCATCATGCAGTAACAGTCAAACCTGTCTAAATGGAATTTATAAAAAGGGACGAGCAACCGAATTTGACTTGGGAAGCAGATTCAAACTGGGCGTGAAACGATCATTTTGGTTGTGGCAAGGATAGACGAATTTTTGCAAGAAATTGAAAATGGTGATGGGTGACAGTCTGGGCCTCAAATTGCCTCTGAAATGAGTTGACAGAGGAAGGGATGCTGAACTTGTCGGAGGCAGGGGTTCATTTTGCTCAATAATGAGTCTTTAATAGCTTATTCTTTTCAAATTACATCATCATGGGCCACTTTTTCATTGCTTTTATCTTTCTGGCGTCAAGAAAATAATAGGTATGAAAGGCTTCAGAAAAGTCGAATTATCCTATAGTTTGAGAGGAAACGGGTAAGAGAGGAGTTAGAGAGGGCTTCCATGAATTATTCTCAAAGAAATTCCTGAATAAGGGAATTGGCAAAATGTTCGAATTATTGGGAGTTATTTCAACTTTTATTCAGGTTCAGGGCTAGTGAAAATGCTTCCATAGTTCATCCTTTCCGATGTGCTAATCCTCGGAATGAATAAACAATACTGTACCAATGAAGTCATGCATGACCCGCAGAAAATAATGATTGATGAATAAGTGAACTCGATTGGCAGGTTGAAACATTTCCTTCGTCGTTATCGTGATGAGGTCTCGATCCACAGGGCCCCACTATTAATGTTTCATACAGTATGTATACACTATATGAATTATTATGATTATTACGTAGATCAAGTGCCTTGCGGAGACCCGGAACAGCCGCTGCACAGTAGCGTCAACAGGACCGGGTTTCGAGCAGTGTACGGGTGTTCACCGGGCTTCCAGATCCAAGGACAGGCAGTCAGGGATTGCCTGCTGTCGGGCCAGTGGACGGGCCAGGCACCGGTCTGTCGTCAAGGTGAGTGGTGCTGCTCGTCTCGGAGTCTTGGCACTGGTGGGACGAACCCGGGTAATTCCATTGCAGCACTTAATGTACCATCGCCTTATTACTGTACATCAGTGTATTGTCTATTGAAATCCCAGCAATGATGGCTCCGGTCACCACCATCATCAATAATATCAAACATGAATCTCTCACTCTCTTGAATCTCCGCATGAATATATATATATACAGAGGTTACATGTCCTGGACCTCCACCGAGAGTCGCCAATGCTGTTCATCACTTGCAAAAGCAACGAGGTAACTTTAAAAATGGAGCAGGCAGAAAAGTGGCTGTGTACCAGTGTTTACCGGGATTCAACATGCACCAAAGTGGGTCCGCACAACTTTTTCCACTCTTCTATTTGTTGTCCATTCGATGGTGGCATGATGTGCATGTGGCAGAACAATCATGGAATGCATCAGACGCATATATTGATCAGTACAGTATGTATACAGCAGTGGTTATAGGATCAACGGACTATAACACACAACCTTTCACATCTTCTGTTGTTGTTGTTGGTGCTATTGTTTTCAGGATGGATGGAATGGTGTATGACTATGAGGCTTGGCTTATGTCTGTGCCAAACAGAACCTTGATATTTCAGAAAACCACATCCCCCGAATTGTGTACAATGCTGCATCCTGCATGAAGCAAAGTTAAAGCACGTAAAGGGGTCTGAAATTGGGGATTGCTAGTGGAATATGTGTTATTACAGTACCTGCATGTTTCATGACAACATGCCGCACTTTAGAGCATTTCTCTCATAGAAATTGGTCAGTAAGACCAAAAAAGCAGTTGTTGAACCTGTTTACATATATTTTTTGGCCAGGATACCCATCCGTTATTGAAAGTGCCTAGTGAGAAATCCATAATACTGCCTTTTTCAACTCCGGGTAATATCTTTGTGTGAACTCACTGCACCAGCAGAGGAGTGATGGCAAAAGTATGCTGCCTTGCATTCCACTTTTTCATTTTCTCAGTCAGCTTGCATGATGATTTTCATGGGATCTTTGGCACGTCCGAATATTGCACTGCTGAACAGGTTCTCACGCAGACATGCAGGTTATCCGATCTTGCTTCATCGGGCCGAGTTACTGTACATTTCCATAACTTTGGTTCTTGAATATTATTTGGTACGAGTTACAGTACATTGCCATAACTTTGCTTCTTGAATAATTGGCTGTACTTTCGTGGAACATATCACTAGCGTTTCTGCTGGTCTCGGTATATATGCACAGATGGTAGCTCATCGTCGTCTTCGAGGGTCGTGTCGACCTGCGGCGAAAACGGGCAATGGACGAGTGCGAGCAGCAGGATTGCTTGCTTGCCGGCATCATCATCGTCATCATCTGCTAGTGCTGGTGGTGGTGACGGAAACAAAGAACCTGTCTGGATGGGCCACGGAAGCCAGCCTGGGCATCACCAGCAGGTGATGATCAACGACCAACTGCCCGAGTGGACATCATCGCAGCAGGCTGATGATTGGGCCAGCACTCCATCATCGGCTCCTGCTGCTGCTGCTGGACCGGGCCACCATCAGCACACACCCAGCCACGCCGTGACCCACGATGCCCTGTTTGGGGTCCTCGTGTCCACCGCTGCCGTGCTGCTGGTCATCCTGGTCTCTGTCCTCGTTTGCTGGAGGGTGTGAGTCCATTTCCTCTCGGTGTTTCCAAGAATACAGTACATGAATACCCAACATGCATACAGCGATGAGACCCCAATAACATGCGGACGTAATTGGTTCATCAAGTGTGTCCCTAAGTTGAAATGACCCCAAGTTGAGTCTTGTCCTCCCATAGACTTACACATAGACTTATACATTTAAATTGGTGTTTCATGGAAGAAATATTCATCAGAATTTGATGGAAAAATTTTCTGTATGGGATAGTTGATATTGATTCAGTGATTATCTTTCAACTCAATGAGAGCATTTGGAGCTTTGAACACTCCACCCTCTGCTCAGTAAAATTTAAATTTTTGCAACTGTAAAAATGACATTCAAGTCACAAATAGAGAATGAAATCCCTCGTCTTTGCTGGAGGTAATTTTTTTAATTAGCTGAATGAATGGGAAAATGATGGCGGAAATATCAAAGAACTTTTCTTGCATAGATCTTTGGGTTGGAAATATGTGTTTTGTACAATTAAGCCTCATAAAAGCAATTTTTCCTGAAACTTATTTGTGATTTTATCATGCAATGTCCTCATGTTGAGTCAGTGTCCACATGTTGAGACTTTTAAATGCACTTTCTATTGGTGAATAAATGTCCCTATGTCAAATTGTCCGCATGTCAACAAGGTGTGGGGTAGTGGGAAAAACTCAAAATTGGATGAATTTTTGTTCAATTCAGCATGTGCGTTGTCAGGTAGTCAAATGTAAGTAAGTTTCATTATGATATGAAATAAAGAAATGTTTTCTTGAATGCGTAATAAAAATGTATTAAATAGTTGATTTAGTCAAGAGTGGATTACCGTATACTGTATACATTACTGAACTGGAACACCTGGGTGCTCGTCTAATTATTCGAGTGAATACCGAATGGATATACAATATGCAGATTCTGTATTCATAATAGATGGATGCACAAATAGATTTTCGAACCAGGTCATCACCACAGAGTTTTCCAGCCGGTGCTGGGCTATCTGGATTCTGTCAATTAATTGAGTGGGACCACAATGCTCTGCTTCCCGAACATTAACCGTCTTGGACATGTTCAACAGATATCCGAAGCTGCTTCGGGAACGGCACAAGTCTCTCCGGCGAACCCGATCTAAGCTGATTTTGCCTGCAGGATTCTTTTCTCGACATTTGCCAGAGAACGGTGGGGATGTTTCAAAAGATTCACACCAAAAAAAGTACTGTAAACCTAAATGGGTTTTTTCGAATTAAAGAAACGGTCGCCTAACAATAAAAGATGCATCTATCTATACCCAGCAACTCTATTCAATTCGACGTCGTACGATATGACTTTTCTTTTTCTCGATCTGTAAATTAATGATCCACGAAACAAAATTGTTTACGTAGACATTCTTGTCAGAATCATCCACGAAATCAATTTTCGTATCTCCAACGGGGGTTTTCAGGATATTTATTCTTTCAAGTGATGTATAACTATACCCATGACCCGAACTTGGTGATCCTGGAAGAAGCTACTAGCCCTCAGCAGCCAAGAAATAACTGCAGGATACAAATTCTCTTTATAGAAAATTATTGAGGCTTGGATAATTTTCTCTGGCTTATATACACAGTACAGTACTTCGGGTATAACTGTATATAAGCACAACTCATCTCCAGCAGCTATATATATAGGCGGTATACGGATTATCTCATCCTCAAGCAGAAACACTACCGTCTTCCTACTACATGGACCCCGATTCGTCCTCGTCGTCGTCCATGATGGTGGCATCGCAGCTGGCGTCCCACGCCGAGTTGTCCGGCAGCAATAACATGATCTACGACGTGCCGTGTGGGAGTCAGCAATCTCTCGAGGCCAAATACGCCAACTTGCGCACTCCCTTGAAGACCTTCAACACGACGAGGAAACTCGAACAGACGTATGCCAACGTCTCATCATCCCGAGTAGTTCCCTTTGCCAGTGCGAGCCAACCCGCAGGAGATGGATCATCATCATCATCATCATCAACAGCAGCAGCAGCAGCAACTGATGGCGGTGGTGGAGGTGCGGACGTGGATGATCGCAAGTTGGATGCTCTGTACACATTTGTTGACCGGGGAGCTAAACTCAAGGTGACTATATATGCTTGGTTGATGGAGTGTTGCAATCATGGATCATGTCCATTCGTGGCACATATAGTACAGCTGCCGCGCTTGTGTGCAATTTATTGCTGCTGGTGGATCCTTGCATGCTCAGATATATGGGGCGATAAACACCATTGCACAGCTTCTTGTTTGTTTTGTTTTTTATGGTTTCGTTTGTTTGTGCTGCCGGTATATGCACACGTGATGATAATTGCAGGCATACAGTACACTCCGTGCACTGTCCTGCATGACATCTGTTGGGCTGTATCCGCAGTATACGTTGATTTGTGCATTATATGCTGCCTAATAAACTACGATGCGGAAATGCAGGCGATGCGAGCAGACGGAAGGCTGGTGCAAGTCGGCCACGGTCAAAGGACGAGGACGAGGACATCAGTGTCGACATCTGCTGGAGGCGAAGACACTTGCGAGTCATCCTCGTCAGCTGCCGCAGCACAGGGGTCGCTGTCGAAGCTAGAGCAACACGGCCGAATTGATGTCGACGACGACGACGATGGCGATGATGAGAACTCCGCAGTGGCAGCAAGGGCAGGTCAAGGACATGCGTCGGGAAACGAGTACCAATCCCTGGAGGAGGTGCACAGCAGCAGGAGCCAGCATCATGATCGGCAGCAGCAGGCCAGCATGTCGCATTCGCCGACTGCTGCTCATGTCAGCAGCGACGATCGCGTCATCGTCTACGCCCAACTGGACATGACGAGGAAAGCCGGCAAAGGACTCCTCACCTCATCCAGCACTGACCTCGTCTCATCATCATCCGACCGGATCTTTGGCCGAGAAGACAAGGTCGTCTACACGAATTTGAGGCCACTTCCCCCGATCCCGGCTCCTGCTCCTGACCACCACCGCTTTATTGCATCACCAGCACCAGCAGATGACAACGACAATGACGACGCACACACAGGCTGTTGAAATGTGTACATCAACTTTCTCTCCAAATTGGTTCACTGCATGTACACATATTCAGACAGACATGCATGAGTGTGTGTCCACTGCACATATTTGACTGTGCTGCAGTGGAAAAGATCCCTAACGCGTGTGTATATATATGCATCACTAATGCAGCCTGTCATAACTGGATGAATGTTTAGAGGGTCCATGTCCTCTAAACACTGGCCATGTTTGATATGAATCAGAATGAAGTTGACAAATGCAGTAGACCCTTGATGCTGCTCCTCAACAACACAATGGTTAACAAGCGTTTGTCCTCATAAAAAAACATCCCTTGGTTAACGAATCAAAATTTGGTTAACAAAGCAAGCATTCCAAATTCAGCTTTGACACTCAACTGCAAGGTAAAATTGAATTTATGTTCCAATAGACAACTCATCAGAAAGAAATATTTTTAGGCAGACCGAATAATGCTCCAAAAACATTTTGAAAAATAGGGCTGTTCAAAAGCAAGTCAGTTGATGTGTGTATGCCACGGATGTTCCATGCTTTGAGAACAAGCAGTTGAGCAAGTGATCAGTCCAGCTGTAAGAAGCTGTGCACGAAAGCACCTTTTGAACAGATTTTTTTAGTTGTTCCAAATGTTCAACTGGCAAATGCGTTCTTTTCTTACACCGTTGTAAAATTAACATTTCATTTTTTGGCGACACTAATCCTACTCACAGTAAGTGTTTTTCTGGTTGTCAATCTTTTTGAATGCTTTTTCAATCAATCATGCTTCCTTAAAAGCCTAAACAAAACTTTTTTTTAAATTACACGGGATGCTGCAGTAACTGTTTTGGAATGGAGTATGGTCCTGAATTCTTTTGGTTTAATTTGCAATGGTTTTCTTGGTCAAGTACAACACTGCAATTTTTTTTTCTTGAGATATTTCAGAAATACCTCACGCAGATGATTGGCAAACTTCTTGGTCAACAAGATTTTGTCTGGAACCAATTCAGCATATCCAACGAGGGTCCACTAAAAGTCATGGACCATTGATTCCTTTTCCCCTTCTGATCAATTTCACTAAAAAAAGCATGGACGAATGGTTGCGCAGCACACTGTATATAGACATCATGTGAATCTTTGCTTGCTGTGATTTTTAAGTAACAAGCTTATGATGCTACTCTTGACAAGTTAGTGATTTGAATGGAGACACTCGGATTTTTTTTCTAATTATTGTCAGCTGAATTTTGATTTTTTTTTCTCAGCGGATATTTGTAGGTCATTTGTGCGTACGTTTTGCAGGCTTGGGAGGGGGGGGGGCGGGGGCTGATAGATTTCTCCCAAGAAATACGATGTCCAAAGCTGTAATCTTCTCATTTTTTTTCTCTCAGAGAATTTACTGTTGTTTCCCACACCTCATAAAAAACAGAACAAGGGAGTAACCGGTACTTCCTCATCGCGCCAACAAGGAGTTTTGTGAGCTAACTTTGAGCAGGTATGATGTTGAATATCAGTGTCAAAATATGCCGTAAGGGTGTATTTGAGGAGGATATATCACATAAATGTCACTGAAGCGCATGTCAATATGTGTTTGCCGGAAATGTCCGCCAAGTTCACTGTCGTGATAAAAAGGAAGGTCCGGATCATCATGGCAACCCAAAATAAAATGTCTCCCAACCCTGGATATTCTTTGCAGAAGTCCTGAAGATGCTCAATATTTGCTGACAGAAGAACTGTGGAACTTGATTTGTGTGAAATTGAATCACTATGAAATGATGATCGAAGCTGCGAATGCCTTTCGTTGTCTGATGGATGTTTTCAAATTCGAAGTAAATCTCTGGATAAGTGAGTTTTTTCATTGCACTGCTTTGAATTGGTGATTTTGCCTTTCTTTTCCTGCCAATAATAAGTGTCCGCTACTTACATGAAGCATTCTGGACACTGACATAAGTTAGACGGTTTCTTGATGCTACCCAGCAGTTTTCAGAAGTTCTGGGCCCTGTATGCTTATGAATGAGACTCTTTGGAACTGTCATTTTGATGCTCTGTATGGGCTTAACTCCTGCTGGATGCTAGGCCACAAGGGCATGGTGTGCCAATAAATACAGTAGTTCTGGAAGCATTAGAACTTGAAACAAACCAGAAACATCGCAATGCCGAGGGATTCCTGTCATAAAGTAAGGTGACTTCATATCAAAAGACAGATCATCTATATCTGAAAAGAAAATGTTCTGACTGCATATTTTACGATTCATCAACACTGTTCATCAACACTGGCTTAGACATTTGCGTTTCAAAATCTTTTGAAGCTCAACAATAAGTGAAGCTCTTATTGCTATAATAATAATAAATTCGCTCTTGTTCTCAATGGTGCTTGTAGGTTTTGAGAGCAGCTGCACTATCTTGATGGATCAACAAGAAAAGGCAAAATTGCAATGTTGTTTTCCTAAAAGTCATTGGTTGGGTTCCAAAATTTCTTTGAAGCCAATCAATGTTGTACCATCTCATACTTTCCAGGACATCTGATGAAGGCACTTTGGAAATGTACTCACCACTCTTGCCACATCTATGTACATTTGCTGTATGATCTGGGATTTTAACTCATGGATATGCTTGCTTGCTGATGTTGGATGCTGGGGCTCTGGTCTAGTCTTTGTGAGGTGCTCCATATTGTTAAACACAACTTCATCAGCTCTAATGGTTCCGAAATGTGATTCAGGGTCAGGTCATGATCCACGAAACCTTGGCTAACTCCTAACCCTTCAGCGAAGTTCTTGTTTTTAGTTATGAATTATTGCTTTAAATGCTCAGAGGCAAACAGTAACATTTTAGTACAGTGCAGTATTATCTATTGCCCTCTCATTGGTGATCTACCTTTTGAACTTTGGGCTTCAGACGTACTATACTAAAGACACCAGATCATTTCCAGTGGACCATCAGGTGTCTCCAGTGATCATAATTGTTTCAGTATAGTTTTTCTTTGCTCAGGCACAGGAGAAGGGTTTTTTTCGCGAATGCAGTTTTCAAACTCAAGATCTTGCCTTATTCAAATTCCGTTTGGTCTTCCACTCCATCAAAGTCATATCACAAAGGTCCCAGCACTACTGCTTTTCTCATTCATGCAATTTTGTTCATGCTCAGCAGTCATACAGAATCTATATTTCCTTTGGTTCTGGTTTTTATAGTCATTCTTGTACTATCCCGCACACCTATGCAATCAGGCACCCAACATTTTTGTAATAGTCTTATGAACGAGGAACATGTTGAATGAGTCGGATGCAGTTTCCTATATGGTAGAAAGAAACGTCTTCCATGTCTCCAGATCTATATATCACCATTTTGAACCTAAAGGTTTCTAAGCAACTTGAACCAATTGTTCAACTTTAAGAAGAACATCACTGTATCTGGTTTTTTCATTGCTATTCTGTGTACACTGTAGATTTATAAAGAATAGAAGCTATTTTCAACTGGAATGCACTTCAATCTATTCCCGGGTTAAATGTAATTTTTGCCATAACCATCATTGCTGATTGGAAATTGCAAATTTCATTTCCGAACCGTGAGGATTAAATGCTAATTTAGAAATATTTTGAAATTCAGGGAATTCACTCGATCCATCAGAACTTGTGAAACTAAAAAAAAAAAACATGTATGCACCATGTACAGTGGGAATTCTAAGATGTGGACACAGTTGGTGCTTGGTGTCTTGTGCCTATATGTTGGAGCATCTTCATGGTGTATCATGGTTTCCTGTAAACTTAAATGGGAACACACTTGATTGGTTCCCTGTTCATTCAAAATCAGGAAAAAAGTCGCAAAAATCTTATAAAAGTTATCTTGATTTTAAGATTCAAACAATAACTGAACAGAGGAAAACCACATGGAATATAATCTTTTGTCATCAGAAAGGAGCTCATTAAGAAGCAAAGAAAAAGAACAAGTCTAGTAGCTGTATAGTATTGTGCTAATATATGTGCACACATGAAGAAAAGTTAAATTTGCAGCTCATCAATGATCTCATCAATCCAATACAGTATTTGATTTTATATTCAGGAATTGCGCATGATTTTTTTTGTCGGCATACAATGAAAAAATGACTCTTCTGAAATTTTGTTTCAAGATCAGCTTAGCAGATCAAGGATGATGCAGGCGTGAAATTATCTTCTATATTAATTGAGGGAGTATTAAAAATTCAGAAAAGACCTCATAACTCTTCTCCATCATATACTTATGGGCAAATTCAGCATAATAAAAGTTCTGGTAAATAACTTGAAGGCTACATTCAGCCATTGAACATAAAATTCAATCAAAATCTTCGACCAGGGTTGCCATAAATTTCAAGACACATATTTTCTGAATGTACTGATTATAGTGGGACTGGCGTTACGTTGCTCAGAGATAATTCAGTACATCAGTAAATACACAGTTTTTAAACAAGTGTTTGTGAGTTATAATGCAGCAGCAGCAGCAGTGGGATTGGAAGAACCCATATTTATATTTCCGGGCATTCATCATTTCCACTGTTGCTGGCACAGTCAGTGCACCAGAGGGACATTGCTTGCCAGTTTCCATAAACTTTCCTGCCTTTTGCTGGCTCATTATCTTCCTTCGAGAAACCCCTGCAGACGGCTGGCAACATTGTCCACATGACGTGTCGGGTGTGTAGGACGTCAGTCAAGCGCCATCCTCGGCACGTAGAGTAGATCGACACGTACCCGCCTCTTGGTATCCCAAATCCAAGACTGCCGAAAAAGCTGTCACTATAGTGGATGCTCTTGATACTCTTGACACTACAGTACTGACAGCAGCAGCAGCAGCAGCAGTGGTCCCATTATTTCCCCAACACCCATCCCGCATGCACGGAAATAAGCAAACAGGGGAATGAGATGGCTTTAAATATAGCCCCTTTTCTTGTCCGGCCCATGCAGCGTGTTGTGACACCATGTTGTGGCAATTAAGCTCCACGCATCCGGCCTTGATTGTGATGGATCAGCCCTGAAAACAAAGAAGTGTTCTTGTTTGCCTCCTATTGTGGTTCCTGTTCATGATGGCGGTGGAAACTGCAAACAGAAACAGAAGGAACAACTGCTGGGCAAAGGGTGCAGGGATCAGTCTGTCTTGCACACTCGTCCTCACCCATTGTTGACGTTGACTGCTGCTGGTATAGGGTAGACAATGATACAGTATAACGTACAACACATCCCAAATAATACTGCTATACTGCAAGTGTTTTGACTTATTCCTCGCCTTTTCTTCACTCAGCAAGATGCTATGCAGGAAATTGTTGCGTTCAACGGATTCTACTTCCTCAAATCAAGAGTCCAGTGATCACTCAGCGGACAAACAGGCTGATGCTGGCCAGGAGAATTTGAAAATCATGCCTGTCATTCATTTGCAGCAGAATAACCACTTCTTCTGGTTATCTTCATCATAAGTCATGGGGCTGCTGGACTTACAAAAATCTCAATGAATGAAGGTGAAGATGGAAGGATGCTTGGCCAGGTATAATTGATATTGTGACCTGAGAGTCTGTTAATTGTAATAATGGAATACAAAATCAAGGGGGGAGGCATCTGAAATTTACATGTGAAAACATCCTTATAGTCGCAATATATAGGTGAACAAATGAACAAAACACAAGTTTTCATAGTAAAATTGCCTGGGCAAGAAAGATTAAAGCAAGATGGTGGAGATTGAAAAATGCATTTCTTCACTTTCTGAAGCCAAGTTCTGTCATTTTGATCACTTTTAATATGGGCAAGTCTACATGTATTGTTGATTTTGTTATCAAACGTAATGTTGATATTCAAATTGTACAAAGTCTCAAGACATTACCCAAAACTAGGCTGAAAATTTGAACCATAGTTTTCTTTGTTGGTGCCTAAATAACATGCTTGCTTGAGGAGATATAATTCTCATCAGCTGCATGGGTGATCAATGGAGTACTGCGCAGTGAGTTTGTAGAAAAGCAGAGCTAGTATCATATTCAAATTCCCCCGAAATATGCTACAGCAAGCATTTACACAAGCAACAACAGGCAAAGAATGAGTACAAAAACATAGTAAAACAGGTTGCTTATAAACTTTGACTGGCAGAATTGGGCACTTGCCCAAAGTTGGTTTTGGTGGTGACCCAGTTGAGCTTGAGTCAATAGAAAGGAAAAAAAGGAAGATGTTGCAGCATTGTAATTTGTGGAACAGCATGACTTGGTGCTGTGAATCTCTCAGCAAATCATTGTCTGCTGCCAGCTGAATGTTATTTCTGAGGCAAATGTAGTTCCAATGACAAACTTTCTATACAGACAAAGAAAAGTTATTCAA